AAATGTTAGAATGATGAAATGTTATGAAATACCTAAATAATACTATTCTCCTTCACTTTGTTTTTGTTAAAAGCCCCGAGACCACTGCCTCTTCTTCCAAACAGCCGAGCTTTGCTGATAAAGTGATAAATCCGCAGATAGCATTACGCAGATAACATGAGCCAAAAGGTTGTTCTAACGTTCTGGATTTTCAGCTGCTGGAGGTGAGATAAGACATACTTTAACTGATTTAGATTGGAAAGTAAAACAGAAGATTATAGAACTTTAATCAAATTGTTTCGAAGTTGTGCCTAAGTTTCAATGGTAATAGGAGCATAAACAATTGACGGTAATTTGCTTCAAGCTATACTTTAATGTAGGTGTCCCCAACCTTTTTCACCCAAAGAGCTACTTTCCGAGGACAATAAAGGCAGAGAGCTACTCCTTTTAGCTAACCCTGGGAAAAATGTTGTGATATATGGGTGTGAACAAGCCTGATATTGGATACAGTCATTATATATCATTGTATATTTGTTACTAGTGACAAAGTAAGTGCATTTACAATCATGAATCATGATCATGAATAATACAATCTGAAATATCAAGTGTATTGTTGAATTTTGACATTTCTAAATCCTTTGGTGAGCTACCTGGAAGGGGGTGGCGAGCTACTGGTGGCTCCTGAGCTACAGGTTGGAGACCCCTGCTTTAATGTACTAAAAATCAGCTATAGTTTTCAAATTACAGTGTATATTTGAGCATGTATCAATACAAAAATGGGATCTTTTTGGACAGTTTTAGAATTATTTTTGTGAACTAGTGAAAAACCATAGTATAGGATCGGCTAAACATTGTAAGAATTTGTTAAAAATTAGGTATTGATCTTGTTAATGCTGTATCAAAATGAATGTACTTAAAGAACAAAAATTTTACATTACTTCCAACAAAGGGATACCAAAGAACAATGACCCACTTTCTGCTTTCGCACGTCAGATATTTTATGGGTCCGCTTTTGCAGACTAAACTTTTTTCTCCACTTTTTTGCCTGTTCCTGGCTTCTTTTCCTGTTCTCTCCTTGCGTTTCTGCCTCTGCCCCCTTCGACCTTCTTATTCCTTCCTTTCCCTTCCCCCACTAAAACTACCCCCACCCGCTTTTCCCCCCATTCAGGCCAGAAACTCACCAAATGCAGCAAAGAAGACCACCAAGAACAGCTCACACCTCTCACAGTTGCCTTATTATCTAAACGCCTGATTCTTTTGTTGATCAGAAAAGTAGCTGTTTCAAGCCAATTTAAATAGACGTATAAGTATGGTCCAGTTTGTCAAGAGACCACCAAACCAATCATCCAAGTTCCTTCACTTATTTTCTAATCATCTCATGCAAATGACTAGCTGCTTTGAATAATTGACAGAGGAATGTATACTTTTAGACTCAAACGGATGTCTGGGCATTCCTCCCTGAATTGAAACAGACTAAACTAAGCCAATCTAGGCCAGGAAAAACATCTAACATTTTCTACTACTGACCTGACAGAAAGAATAAGTATGACTTTTCATAGCTAATCTGAAATATACTGGCAATGTTGGGTTACAGAGCAACTTTGATGAGAAGGGAAGTGGACCAGACCAGACAACTGGGAGATTTCAGAGTTGAAGTGTATGAAAAAAAAGCATTCGTCCAAATTCTGAATTTTTAACACATAATTATGATTCAAGTCAGTCAAAATCTTAACCAATCTATGTCCTGTAAAAGTGGGCAGCCACCAATGTAAGGAGCTGGCCCGTCACATGTGTGTGAAAACGAGTTATGTCTGGAGAAAAACACAAAGCCTTTTCAGTGACATTGAAATGTAAAAGTTAAAAAAAACTGGGTCCATTAGAAGTCTGAATTCTGCTCCAAAGTACATTCACCAGGATTATAGGTTGGTCATGACCGTGATGATCCAGACCCTTTATGAACGTTGGTTATGCGGCCCTAATGGACCGATAGCTCTTACATGTTTCTTATTATTGCATCTCCTGTGTTCAAACTGTTTCGTTTTCTGATCTGTTGATAAGCAATCACCAACATTATTAAGTCCTTCGATTCACTGTGTGGTTCGCTGGAGCCACAGTCAGGGACAAACAGAGACTACAGCGCATTGTGCGCTCTGCAGAGGAAGTGATCGGCCGCAGCCTTCCATCGCTGCAGGACCTATACGTCGCCCGAGCTCGAGGGCGGGCTGGTCGTATCACAGCCGACCCCTCTCACCCTGCACATGGACTATTCCAACCACTCCCCTCAGGCAGGAGGCTGCGGTCCATCAGGACTAGAACCTCCCGCCACAAGAACAGTTTCTTCCCCTCTGCTGTTGGACTCTTGAACACTTCTTAACCTGTCCCCCCGCCCTTTATAAAGTCACTTTACTGCCCATCATACGTCACTTTACTTCACTGTACTGCTGTCACCTTACATTGTGTGCACCATGTGCACTTGCATATTGTAAATAGTAACTGTAACTCTATTTTAAATTTAAATTTATTCTTTAGAAGTGTTTTTTATTCTTATTTTTATTATCTCTTTCTGACTGTTGCACTGACTGAAGTCTGTGACCTCCTGTTACTTACGTGGCAATAAAAATGATTCTGATTCTGATATGACTGCTGTTGTGATTTGAGGCTATACCAAAACAAATTGAATTGAATTGAAAACTACATGGTAATAAAAACAATAAACCCTGTGTGTATTTACTGCAGATCTGTGCACTAGATAGATAGTAATGTATTGTGCACATCAGAGGGGAAAGCTTCAGGACACAAGACACACACAGCATGGGAACACCATGGGATTCCCCCAGATGAGCTGGAGGGAGTGTGCGTGAGAGGGAGGTCTGGGCTGATGGATCGTCATTGTAAAAGTACTTTCAGAGATCTATAATTCACCTTACATTTCCATGAAACCATAATGTTCTACAGATTCAATTTCAATACTTCAAACAAAAGAAAGGATACAAAAATAAGATATGATAATAATACTGTGATAAAGTAAATACATTTTTGTCTCTGTAATATTGACTGGCTGCCACTCATAGGAGTAGATCTGGACCATGTTTGTTTGTTAAAGCACATCTTTGGAGGAAAATGAAGCATACCACTGTATTGGGTTCATATTTCTCGCTGTTAGTTGTCCTACGTTCTCTGACTCTTGTGGGCAAAAAGAGACAAAATGTCCAGATAGATGTCCCATACCCATTGACCTCAAAATACTGTCTGATGTCTGGGCTTTGCTCTGAATATGCGTATAGGAAATAGCTTTATGGGCAGAGTATGTTTGGAATGAGATCTTGTAAGTAGTCGGCAGCAGCAGCAGGCACTTGCCGTGGATGAGTGATCAAGGAGCAGGAATCCAGTGGGGCTTCATGAGGTTATTTTCATGATGTGCCCACATACTGCTCTGTTCGTCCACACTGAGGGCCTGTGTGCGGAGATTCTCAGAGGAGATAGAAATAACTTTACAGCTGCTAACCGAGACGGAGAGCATGAAGAAAGATTTGAACTGGCCCACTGTGTACAGAAGCAAACTCAACTAAGTGGGCTTTGGTGTCGCAAGAGAGCTCTTTCAAAATGTGTGCGTTTTGAGTCGGTAAAATAAGAAATAGACACTCGTTGATATTCATTTCTCCCTCAAATATTCATTGCCATCCTGCTGGGCTGCTGTCTGACCTTGAGTAAATAGTTATTTTACAAATGTAGGAGTATATCGATATTAATATAGTTTACAAGTGAAGCATATAGTGTAAAATATCTTTGGACCAGCCGTCCACAATTTTTGTAACACAGAAACTAACCCAAACCCAAAATAGTTAAGCAACTGATTGAATTTAAAGTAGTGATATCAGTAATTTGAAGTGTCTAAACCCTTTAAGACCAGTTCGAGAAGATAATTGGACACTTGAAATTTTATATAACCAACTGCATGTGAAAGCCTGATCCTAACAGACCTCAGAAGCCTGTTGTGTTTTTGGGAAAGTATGTGTGCATGCATGTGTAGCACTATTAACAAATACATGAAACAAATATAGATACATGACTGAAACTAATATGTCACACGGAGGACAATTCTAACATGACGAAGTGCCAGTAGCAGTCCGTATCAGAAAAGTTTTGTAGGGCAATGCCACCAGTGCAGTTAAAACAGACATTATATAAATGCATTTGTATTCCTACCACATGAGAAGTTTGAGGGAATGTTGAATCTGAAAACATGCATCAGGTCATTAAAATGAACAATCACTCAAATGTTATCAAACGTATAACTTGGCTACATCTAATTGAATAACGTTTTAATTATTTACAACACCCTGGGGCTACCCTGTAACTTCAATAAAACAGTCTCATAATAATTGCATTAAATCACTAAACCATACTTCCAAACTAAGTGAAACAAGAGCCAATGGACATCGAGTCCCGTAGGAAAACAAAGGCTGTGATTGGCTGAGACGCGGCCGAGGTTTTTAGGCGCCCCCGCTCAGTCGAAGGGGCCGCTGAATGAGGAGGGCGCCTGGAAACCGCTGCCCATAGAGCTCAGATTGTAGCAGAGGACTCCCGACCACCGCTCCGCGAAGTCAAGCTGGGAACATGGGAATATTAGCCTGCAACTTCTAAAAACATCTTTTAACTTCACTGCGTTTATCTCGCACGGACTTTGCAAACACGCTGTAAGTTTTTTTCCGCTGATAAAGCTGTTTTAAGTAGTGGAACAGCGCTGCGTTGGGGTTTTTTTTTTCCTGAGTGTGGACTGCTTGGAGTCACTTACAAAAGACCATCAAGAAGTCATGACACGAAGGAGGTTTCGCTTGGATTAATTCATTCAAAACACGGGGAAAAGTTGACTGCAATCGAGTGAGTGCCGCTTGTTGCAACGCGTGGTCCCCATCGCGCCGAGAAGTGAGCGCAATTTTGTCGCTTTTGCACCGTTTTCATTTGTCCTACTTGGATCAAAGTTTTTCCTTCCCTCCCCCCCTCCTCCTTCGTGCTCCACTATGGCGGCCGCTGCCTCTGTGTGTGCGCGAATCATGTGCTTGTTGTGCGCACTGAACCCCTGGATTATAGCGCAACATTATAACAGCGAATCGGGAATTTCAGTTCCGGAGCACGGCTTTTGTCAACCCATCTCCATCCCGCTGTGCACAGACATCGCATACAACCAAACCATCATGCCGAATCTTTTGGGGCACACGAATCAAGAAGACGCAGGTTTGGAGGTGCATCAATTCTACCCGCTTGTTAAAGTCCAGTGCTCTGCGGATTTGAAGTTTTTCCTTTGCTCCATGTATGCGCCAGTTTGCACCGTTTTGGAGCAAGCCATACCCCCGTGTAGGTCCCTGTGTGAGCGCGCACGCCAAGGTTGCGAAGCGCTTATGAATAAATTCGGTTTCCAGTGGCCCGAAAGACTGCGATGCGAGGCTTTCCCTGTCCACGGCGCTGGGGAGATCTGCGTGGGTCAGAATACTTCAGAACCAAGCGGACCGTCTTCGTCTTCCTCTCCCTTCATGCCAGAGCTGGTTACACTACCCCCCAATGTCCTGAAACCAAACCAGCGCCCCCCGCCGCACAATCAGTTTCACCCATTTGTTTGCCCAATCCAGCTGGAAGTGCCACCCTACCTGGGCTATCGCTTTATGGGTGTCAAAGACTGTGGAGCGCCTTGCGAGCCCAACAAACCAGCAGGGATTATGTATTTCCGTGATGATGAGGTGAAATTTGGTCGCCTCTGGGTGGGCATCTGGTCCATCCTGTGCTGTGTGAGTACTTTATTCACAGTGCTTACATATTTGGTGGACATGAGGCGCTTCAGATACCCAGAAAGACCGATCATTTTCCTGTCTGGGTGCTACTTCATGGTGGCACTGGCCTACGCTGCTGGGTTCTTTTTGGAGGACCAAGTTGTGTGTGTGGATAAATTCAAAGATGAAGGATACAGGACAGTGGCCCAGGGTACCAAAAAGGAAGGCTGCACGATCCTATTCATGGTGCTGTACTTTTTCGGCATGGCCAGTTCAATCTGGTGGGTCATATTGTCCCTCACATGGTTCCTCTCCGCTGGCATGAAGTGGGGACACGAAGCCATCGAAGCCAACTCCCAATACTTCCACTTAGCCGCATGGGCAGTGCCAGCCATCAAGACCATCACCATTCTTGCCATGGGGCAAGTCGATGGTGACGTTTTGACCGGCGTATGCTTCGTAGGGATCTTCAACGTCGATGCCCTTCGCGGGTTCGTCCTGGCCCCGCTGTTTGTCTATCTCTTCATCGGCACCTCCTTCCTGTTGGCTGGGTTCGTCTCGCTTTTCCGGATCAGAACCATCATGAAACACGACGGAACTAAGACGGAAAAGCTGGAGAAACTCATGGTGCGAATCGGCGTCTTCAGCGTCCTCTACACAGTCCCGGCCACCATCGTGATTGCTTGTTACTTCTATGAGCAGGCCTTCAGGGAGCATTGGGAGCGCACCTGGCACATGCAGAACTGTAAGCGCTTCGCAGTGCAGTGTCCGGCGCACAATTTCGCCCCCATGACCCCCGACTTCACAGTGTTCATGATCAAATACCTGATGACCATGATAGTCGGCATCACCTCCGGTTTTTGGGTCTGGTCTGGGAAAACCCTCCAGTCCTGGCGGAGATTCTACAAGCGTCTCAGCAATAGCAATCATGGCGAAACGACAGTCTGAGCATTAAAGAAGGACTTTTGTTTTGGAGAATGAGGTCAAATAGCTTTCATTTAAATCTGAACTCTTACTTTTTGATGTGTTTTTAATGTCGTGACAGCAATTAGGGTGTTTGGATATACCCAAACATGATACAAGCAGAAGTTGATGCATACCGGCCAATCATAATACTGGTCCGTGGACTGTTTCAAAAAGTCGGACATGAAAAGTTACTATGAAGCCTATTAGGTATTACTTATTTTTCTATGTCACAAAATAGTTGAATGTTCTTTTATATATTCCAAATAAGAGATTTTCTGTCACGAAAAGCAACAGGTCAACCAGAGTGGCCTCGAGTTGGAGCAGTATGGTCACGATGAAGGCACCAGCCGCACTCCCAGAACTGTGAAAGCACATTTTTAAACACATGCAATGGCTGCTTCAATCAAAAAAGAACTATACCACCTGTTACAATTCTTATTTACGCAGCCCAAAGCAACAAATATTGACTTTTGCCAACTTGTGCCAAGCGTTGGACAAACCATTTCAAATCTTTGTGTATTTTTGTAGTCCTTTTTCTGTATTTGAATGTTCACTCCGATGGTGAATGAAGTTTTGTATCGGTTTGCACAGCTATGCCAACAGTTTTTAAGTGTTACGATTGACTGATCTGGATCTAACATGCAGGGACCACACACCAGCCCCCCCCTCTCCTCCTCTCTTACTTGCCTTTTATTCTTTGTAACTGAGACATAGCCGCTCATTGTTTATCCATGCGTGCTAGTGTGTGGTCCTCCCATCTACATCTAAAAAGCAGCCTTTTAAGGATCCAGCTAATCTGTAGGCGCAGCAGGGATTTCATGTTTTTCATCCTGGCTAAAGTTGATTGTACGTCACCTACACTTGTAATCACCAAAGTTTTATTTTTGCTCAATTGTTCCGCCTGGGTCCAAATGGTTTATGATAGATTTCAATCAGCAAAGCCATTGAAACGTTGTGTGTCTAAATCTTTGTCTGTGATCTGTATTTCTGGAGCCACTTGTGCTTGCTATTTAAATTACAAAAACATTAGACAAGTAAGGTCAGAAGTCACTACCTTGAGGAATGTAGCTATTTGAAGCAAGGCAGACTTTTTTTTAAGTTGTTGCGTTGACCCTTGGAGACACTAGAGCAATTTATCAGCAGCACACAGTCTGTCTAAAGTTATGTCGGATAGGAATTACATTTCAAACTGGAATCCATGCGTTTCATTAGCTCCACACCACACCTATGTTACTGTAGCCTGGATTTGATGAGTGTAAAAGCATGTTCTTTCCGCACATTTTCATATGGATGTCATTGATGGATGAAGTGGCGACAGCAGTGTGTATGTTCAAATCCTCTGCTATTATGTTAAGAGTACAATATATGGTGCATAGGAGTCCTTTCTCAGAGCAGCTTGTGGATAATCCGTGTCACACCGTTGCATGTGATGTACGACATACCTCAATCTATTGTTTAGTCTCCATTTTCAGGAGTCAACCATCGCTGTCCGTGTGTTTACCCAATAACAACTCGAGATGTGAGCAATATCCAATTATAAAGAAGGAACCGTCTGTTCAGTGGCGACATATGCAAACCACCTTGAACAGACATTTGTTTTTAAAATAAATAATGTATTTATGGGGATTTTTGTCTTTGACTTTTTAAACTTTTTTAATGGTGTACTTGTACAGTTTGAATAAAAAAAGACCTAAAGTTTTTAAATGTGTCGTCTGTTTTGTGGTTTGTTTTGAGTGTAAATAGTGGTGTTGCTTAGGTGAACAAATGACCCACATTAAAGCTTGTACTTTATGACTGAACAAAGACTGTAAAAACTGTCCATGGCATCTGGTAACATGAAGCCTGAGGAAAAAGGAAATCGAGGCAACATTATGAAGTGCTTAAAAAAAACTTTCAAACTAATGTTTACTACCATAGATATTTGCATTTTACAGTGGCCCCTATTAGAACTTAATGTTCCCTTAAAGGGCCTCAGGTTACCACCTACAAGCATTATGTAAACCTAGTAACAAAGAACAAGAGTCTTTGTCATGGAGACTGTAAAATACAACTTTCCATTGCATTTCTGATTTTAATCACAAGAATTGTAATAACTTCTTAAAAGCAACAGGTTGCAATGGGGGGTTTTCAGACTCCAAAGTGGAGGGCGAGATCGAGTTTTTCCTAATTTAATTTTACTTTGATGAAGGCAAAAGTTTATACTTTTACCAATATCTATTAGTTACTAAACTTTAGTATATCATTACAGTGAGTCATTATCTATATTTGCTCCCTCATTAGAAACAGGTTGCTTTGATGCCTATACCGTTCATACATAATATTCATAAACGTGTTCATGGTACATCTATTTGACGAGAGATTAACACAATATATTGGTAATTTATTAGATTAATTCAAGGTCATTTTGCAGCCTCTGGGATAGATGGTCAAATGCCCCTCATGTGGGTGAGCTTTGACAGAACTAGTGTCACACTGACCTCATGTGGTTGAATGTAGACATGCAGCCGGCGCACCAAGTTTGATCTTCAAATGATCACACAAGAAGTTACAGTCATTGTATTGAGCCCATTAAGTACGGAAGCTTATTGCATTCAATTGAATAAAAAAAAAATCTTGAGTAGATTAACAGTATTTTCTGATTTCATCACATGCTAATACCATTCAACTGTGTAATTTAAATAGACCTTTTTTCAAACAAGAAAGGAGAAGTTGCATGAGCCATCCAACTGATAGGATAATAATAATAAGCATCAAAGTTACAAAGCCCGTTTTTGGATACTAAAAGATGTTCTATATTGCATTGCTAATTCTCTCACAGTTGCCCTTTGGCAAAAAGACTGAAGCAATGATAGAATGCAGCCCTATGGCATCATTCATATGCACCAGACTCATATCAGACAAGTGTAGGATCTAACATCAGTGGTCTCCCATCAATGTACTAACCAGGCCCCACACAGCTTAGCTTCTTAGATTTAAAGGAATTAGGTATTCCAACAAATGATCAAAATACTATGACAACAGCCAAATTCAAGAAAAATACTTTTTCCATAACAGCTACAGCTCCAGGTCTGGTCAGGTTAAATCCAAACTACCCTTTCACATACACACCTACATCTAGTGGTCAGAAAAATAATTGCAGGGCTGTGTTTTTGTTGTTTATGTTTATTTGACCGGTACAATGCCTGTTCATGAATACACTTCTCCAGATTGTAGCCCTGGGTCATGTACATTTGATATCCCACAGCCGCACTCACAAACTCACACTCATTCACCCTGAACCATTTGGAAAATGTCATCAAGTCTTTCAGAGGTCTTATGTAACTTTACCAAACCTAGACCCCCACGTTGACATTTTGCCAAAATTGAATATATATCTTGGAATAAAGAGATTTTATAGAATAATTGATTTCATGTTAACAAGTTTTAATTCAGATTGTTCATAGCAAAAACAAAGATATTGTTGCAAAAGACCCACATAGGAATGCGTATTCACTCATCAAATGTTATTGGTTTAATCTATATTGCCCACAATTATGCATAATTTTGTCTAAATGTTATTCCAAGATTCACATTCAATATCAGGGTTTTAATAGTAAACTGGAGTCTTCCACATGATTGTTTGATTTTAGATAAACTGAATCCATACATATAGGGAGTTATGGCTGGCTGGCAAATAAGAAGATAGACAGACATTACAATACGCACATGACTTGGGACAAATCTATAGTCGGCTGAGTGAAATATGAACCCAATAAACAGATTAGACATTGACACAATCTGAGGAGCACATGTTGTAATAGCTTTCTGTTTGTTTTCAGTATTTGTTTTCAAGCAAACATGCAGTATTTTAATATAGGACACTGCTATAAGGATAAATGGAATAGCCATAGTCAGTACTATAAAGAATAAATCCGACAATTTGATGATTGAAGTAATTGAGCACGCCAGTCTGATAATCATGTGGTGGTCGCAAAACACTTTATCAATGGAATTACCACAAAATGTAACATGAACGATGACGAAATACATGGATAAAACATTCGCAACTGAATAAGACCAAATCAGAACAACTATGACAACAGCTCTTCTATTGGTTATCAGGATGTTGTAATATAAAGGATGGCATATGGAGACGTATCGGTCATAAGCCATAGCAGCTAAAGTAACAAACTCCACAGATGCAGATGTATATAAATGAAACATTTGCAGAAAACACATATTCAATGACACTTCATGAGTTTCGGAAAACATTTGAAAAAGGAGCAAGGGGTAGAGAGCTGTACTAGCACTGAGTGATTTCATTCACAAACAAGTTACAAACTATTATGTACATGGGCTCGTGCAATCGCCTGTCTACAAAGATCACTACGATAAGAAACAAGTTTGACACACAAATGAATAAGTACCATAAAAGTATGATGATAAAATACCAATGTTTCAGACTGCCAATGTTGCCATAAGCAGCAAGTATGAAATATGTAACCTCACTAGAGTTATTCATTTTTACTCTGTAACAGGAGAGTCTATTTACTGTAAAGACTGTTTTAGATATCTAAAAATAATACTAAAATCTTATTCCATCAATTCTGATATTTTCACCACGCATTAGAATAGCAGACAAATAACATGGTAAAGTAAAAGGAGAAAAGGTCATGTTGACTGTAGTGGAGATTCATTATAACCAGATACAATCAACATGATAGAAATAACAGTTGCAGTTTTAGTCCGGCCACATGTGAAGGAAACAAACACCAGCTCCAGTGGTTCAACACAAACCTCTGAACTTTATAGAGAAGTTCAGAGTCAAAAACAAGCAGTGTGACGACATCATGTCACAGAATACTCGAGGGTAAACAACACACTAAACACAGTCAGTATCTATCTATCTATCTATCTATCTATATATACGTTATTGATCCCTGTAGGAGAAATTCAGGTGTCCAGTAGCAGCATAAATAAAATTAAAATTGATCATTCTAAAA